CCTCGGTCGTTCTCTTCCAGTATGTTTGTCTTTATTTTTTTTTTGTTTTATTCCTCCACGCGTCCCCGACACGTCTGTAGCGGAGCTCTCCAGCAACACTTGAAAGTTTGAAGATGTATCACATGTAGCAGAATTCCAAACATTCCGGAAAGTTTTTTTTTTTTGTTTGTTTCCAAGAAGCTTTTCCCCTCAGGACAAGTGGGAGCACATAAACTCAGATGTGCTTGTCAGCTGTACAAATCCAGGGGCAGATTGCACAGTAGAAACAGTGTTCAGCGTTGCTTTATTGTCAAATGTCCATACACGTTTGAACCGCCAGTGCAGTGCGAAAACAGTTGTAGCTTGTTGTTGAACCCTGTGTAAAGAGGTTAAATTTTCCATGTTCCTAACTTCGGAGGGATGACTCAGTGGAAACCCCTCCATGAGTTTTGATTTGGGTATTTTGTCTCACTTCCATAGATCTTATATTAGTCATGTCAGGGAGTCAGGAGGAGTACTCATTTTGTCCATTTCCTATTTTATGCTTCTGGGTGGAGTCAGTCTCTATCTTCAGGGAGGAAGTCTGGACCTTTCCTTCCCACTGTGTCAAATGCAGCCGGCGGGCCCTGACCCTGAAGCAATGCACCACCTTGTCTGGAAAAAAAAAAAAAGAAAGCACATTTGCACTTCAGTGGCGGTTGTTGGCCGTTATCTTGTCAGACTGGATGGGTGACAGTGAAATGGAAGTATTTAACCAGTTCAGTGCTTTCGAGCAAAAACAAATCCGTGCTTGTGACTGCCACTCCTTTATTCCTCCTTAATGTATCACCCCGCACACACACGCCTGCTACAGCGTTTGCAGTCAATCATTTAAAAGGATTTTCAAACATTGCTAGGCTGATCCTGTACTTTTGCTGTATTCAAGTGTTTGTTTGATTATCTAGCTTGCCTCAGCTCCCAGCTATAATTTCATTGTGCGTACACACACACACACACACACACACACACACACACACACACACACACTGTGCATTCCTCTGTACTCCCTTTTTAAACTCAGATGAGGTGCTGACAGACTGTCTACTACTGCCTGGATATTCTGCAGTCTCTTTCAGTCATTACTCAGCTCAGAAATATGAGATAAAGTGCCCCAGGAGCGCTAAAGCTCTCTGGGAGCTCACCTCATTCTCTGCATCTCCTGCTGTGGTATAGTACACTCAGCTCTCCGTTGCTGTTATTTACCTTTTGTACTCAAGCAAGCACACAATTTGTCCCTCTTGCTGACGAGTGTCTCAAGCACTGTTTGCTCTGTTTTGGTGTTTGGAATATCTACTGTACTCCTGCCGGTTTCTCGCCGAAGATGGATGTCATAGGAAGTAAACATTCTTGAGTAATTGAACAACAAATAATGTTAGTTTCAAGGATTTGCGGACGGCCGACCTCTGATGCGTAACCGAGTGAAGGGACGAGGGGGGTTTTGACTAGAGCAGACGGCTCTAAGATACCGCCAGCGGCAATGCGATCAAGTGTCGCATCTGTCCTCCCAACGCCCACCGCTGACCTCACATCACAGCTCTGGCAGCTCATGCAGTTCAGATCAGTTTATCCAGAATTACAAAGAAAGTTGGTAAAGAAGCTGATTCCACCATGCGACATGTTTTCTGATATGTTGACTCGCTTATGAGTCAGCTTATTTCACCCTCTGTTTTAGAGAAAAAAAACCACATTCTGTGCAGCTGATGAGGCAGACTGAGCTCTGAACAGTTGTATGATTAACACAAGGCTAAAGATTTAACCTTATGTAAACCGGGAAAGGAAGGAGTAGCCCATGTCAGCCCCTGTCCTTTCCATTCAGTGTATCAGCTTGCCTGACAAGTAGGCCAAAAAAACTACTATGTCTTTCAGTTCCAGTGTTACATATTGTTTAGAAATAAAAGTTTATTGATCTTTGAAAAGGTGTACCTGCATTATTACGCCATTATCATTATATCAGATGAAACTGGTATCGGAACGACAATATTATTGTTTATCGCGATAATTTCTGGGACAATTTATCGTCCAGCAAAATTTGTTATCGTGACAGGCCTACTGACAAGTGAATCTGGCTGTAGTAGAGGATGTGACTGTTGATAGTCATTGATGCGCTAATTTTAAGGCATTTGAAACGGATACAGGCTGGTCATCTTGTGTTGTTTCATCTTGTAGTTGGTGATAGACAAAATGTTTGTTCATGGCGATGTTGCCATTAGCTATCAGAACAGATAGTCCTGTTCTTTTTCCGAAGCTTATATGAAAACACGTCTCTTACTTCATCTTTATCTCTTACTTGGGGAATAAAGCAAGCATTCATGCATATGATAAAGCCCAAGAGTATGAAAGTGGATTGGACACATTTTACAAAAGCAGCCATTGAAAAACGTGGACTAAGCAACATCACATGTTGTGCTTTGGGTGGAAGCATGGACAGCTTTGAACCAATATGTTTGTGAGACATGCAGGATGTGCATTTGTATTTCTTTACACATCACAGCATTCGTGCGCTGAAGCATCAATGGTGCCGTTTGTCTGTGCACGTTACAGCTGCAAGACAAAACCGAGTTAATTGTGCAGTTTCTTAATATTACAAATGCAATTTGCATCGCAGATCACAACAGATGGCTGTTTATTTATGTTCAGGGTTTCTACAAATGAATGGAAGATGTAAATGTAGCTCTACATATTACAGTGGAGCATTTAAGCTCGATAGCTGCAGCATCAATGGTGCTGTTTGTCTATGCACTGCAGCTGCAAGATATTGACAAAACCAAGTTAAAGGGATACCCCAGCAATTTATTATTGGATTTTTATATCGTTGGGGGGTTTTTAAGATAAAACTAAAGAACCAAGGATCCTACACTTCCCAGAATGCAGCGTCTTTCAGTATACCCTGTGTGACGATAAACACCCACATCTTTCCAACTCCAAACCCCAAGTTTGTAAACCAGACCTTCTGTCTTTAATTAAGCAGTTTTTTTTTTTAATTACAGTTGCAATTTGAATTATTTGCTGTATATTTTTGTATATCAAAAAGTTTAGTTTTAGGATTTTGCAGTAGAAATAAAATTGTAGTGCTGAGACATTCTTGTAGTATGAGTAATCATCTCTAACTTGCTGCTTTCTTTGTATGCCAGCAGTTCTGTACAGCTAAGCATATGTTCATGAAGTTGTTTGAAATGTCACATCCCTACACAGCAAAAACTACATTCTCTGGCCATTTAGAAACTGCTGTCATGCATCTGAGGCTGTTTTTGTTTGTTTTCATACGTTTTCCCGCAGCTGTTGCTCCATCTACCACACTGCGTATTGCAGTGTCAGTAGTAGGTGTCTGTGTGTGCACATGAATGACTGTGTGCTTTCAACAGATGGCCTTTCGCCCTGAGCCCTCCGGAGGAATCTCTCCTCCGACCTAAGGCTGTTATCTCACAACACATCTGCTGCTCTGATTCACGCTAAAAGAAAACAGCACTAACCTCAACCCGGCCGAGGCTAACCAGCACGGCAGCTCTCCAGGTCAGGAGCTTTTAGCTGTACGGATTGCTTCTGGATTAGTTACGTGCTGCCACAGGGAATCAGTAATGACATGGTTGTTTTCATTTTGTCCGCCGTCCTCTCGTGAAAACCCCTTTCTTCTCGCTACCGCCAATAATCATCTCTTCTGCCACTGCCACCACCTACCCCCCCCTCCTGCTACAGCAGCCTGTTATCAAAGCCCATTGTTGCCCCTCCAGGCAGTGCTCTTTGGACTCAACTTTATGAGGGAGCAGTGCTGGGAAGAGCCCACAGAGATCAAACATGATGGCTCATTTTGGAGCTTGGCTGTTTGCCTCGGCCTGTTTGATGTGAACTCGTCATTACCACGATTTGTCTGGTCCAGCCACTTTGTGCATCTTTCTGTCGGTGTTGTTGTTGTCATTTCAAAACAATATGGTGGAAGAATGTTTGTTACTGACTGTTGCAAACAGGTTCTGATTTTTTTTTAATGCTATTGCTATTATTTACTTTCCAGCAGGCTAATTAATTTAAGGCTTGGTGCTTTTGATGCTAATGCTAATGAGGTTTGTTGCCTGTAGGCTTGAAAGCTGGAGTGTTACTTTTAGCATCAGAAACACCTTGTAGGTGCTTTAGAAAATAACCTGCTGGCTAGTTAGCGGCCTAGCACAGCCAGAAACAAATGTAAGTGCTTGTTTAGGCAGCTAACAAACCAGCAAGCTGATTTATTGAATCAACTACTTGGTGCTTTTGATGCTAATGTGAGTTTATATTAATAACAATTAAAGAAATACTCCAAAACCTGCGTTTGAGTATCAAACAGTTACTGACTGTACGCTTAATAAGGCGCCCTGCTAAAAGGTTGCACATACGTTTGCTTGCTTCTTTGTTGTACCTTGAACTCTCAATAGTGAAATCATATTTTTGCCAAAATATGGCTAAATACACGGCTTCTTTTAGCTGCTAGTGCTGTTAGCTGTTGGCGTTTGCCATCTGTAACCTAGCAGACCTGGTGAAGTGTAATGAAAAGAACATTTTACATTTTTATTTTTATTTTGGATGAGTATTGTTTTATCAAGTGTGAAGACCGAAAACATTTACAAAATGCTGAATGTTGCCTAGAATTTTATGTTATCTCATTTAGAATTGTCTCTTTCTCAGTGTCTTAATGAATATGTTAAGTATGTTCCTTAAGTCTTCGAGTTCACAAATGTAGTGAACACTTCACACGCTGTTCTCAGAGCTGCCAGTATGGCTGCTGCAGGACGAGTTACATCACAAGTCCCTCCAGAGAGAGCAAGGTATCTGGAGAATGAAAGTTGGGGGGCGAAAGGATGTCTTGGCTGCTCTATTGGCCCGAATCCACCACAAACCTGACCTGGATACGGGGCTGGAAGATGGATGCGAAATGTTATGTGATATTAACAGTAACTGGGTTCCACTTCCATCTTTTTTCATGTCTCCTCTTCTCTCTAATCCCTTTTTGTGCATAGGCCCAGGACAAGAGGAAAGCTCTGGAGGAGACCAAAGCCTACACCACCCAGTCCCTGGCCAGCGTGGCCTACCAGATCAATGCCTTAGCCAACAATGTACTCCAGCTGCTGGACATCCAGGCCTCGCAGCTGCGGCGCATGGAGTCCTCCATCAACCACATCTCCCAGGTCAGAAAATTCACACAGATACCCACGCCACAGACCATACAGCTGTGAAGAATGGTACCCCACATTTCCCACTTCTGTTCTCACTTTCACACAGACGCTGTTATTTTTAAACACAGTGCGAGGCCCTCTGTAGAATCCATGGTTCCTTTTTATTGCTTTTTTTTCAGTCTTGTCCAAGCATCTGACTGGCTGTGTGTTTGACGCAATGACTGGTGGTCTGTTTGTCTTTCTTTTTAACCTTGCAAAACATTTACATTCAACACAATCTGTCTAACTCAGAAATGAATGTAGAGCTACACAGTCTGTCCAGGGTAAGTTCGCAACATGGGCAATGTTTCGAATCAAAGAGCGTGCCAGTTTTAAGGGAATATGAGTTTGTGATGGAACAATTGATAATGTGACATAAACATATACAGTGAAGGATTTTATCCATATTGCTCACCTCATATCAGATATGTCCTAACATAATGAAATTTGCAACTTTATAGATGCCATCAGAGTTTTTTTTTCTTTCCTAACCTTTTCCTTTCTATAGCATGAGGCTTCTGCCATGTGCAGGTAAATCCAGCCGCTCATCCAATGAAGGCATTAAGAGCTCAGACAAATCAAACAAAGAGCACCAGCCATGTGGCATCTCGTAGATTAGAACTGGGAGGCATTCACCTAACCTGCAACATTTCTGATTTGTTGTCTCTTGTTTAAAAAACCTTTTTTATTCTATAATGGAGTGACCGGTGAAGGGGTGGAAGGAGTAGTTCCTTTTTGGTTTTGTCTTTCCCATGTCCGCTATCTGTGTTTTTACTCTGACAGAGCTTTGCTATGAGTGCCAGAAATTCTTTCAGGATACACTGAAGGTCAGACTTTCAGTCTAATGGAGGGAAGGAGGACTTGTGAGACTTCAGGGCTAGAGAGAGAGCGAGAGAGCGAGAGAGAGAGAAATAGAGAGAGAGATCCGGCAAATCAGAGGGAAGGCAGAAGGAAATGGAAGATGGATGATGACAAGCAAAGAAAGGCAAGAGAGAGACCAAAAAAAAGGCATATTTACACTCCTTCAGGTTTTGAGTCAATATCCTGACAAATAGCATTCAGCCAACACCAAGGTCCCACTAACGCTACTGCCAGCCTCAGTCTCCATGACAACCCCCTGGGCCACGTCGGAAAAACTTATGACGGACAGTTAGACCTGGTACTTTAGATCAGTGAAGAAAGCTATATGTTGAACTCCAGGCTTTGCTTACATTGTCTGACTTGTCTCCATTGCAAGGGCTCATCTCTGTCTCTTGTCTTGTGCATGGGAAATTCCATCCTTCCTATGCTATAAATATGCCCCATGTTTGTGTACTTAGTGTAGCCATGGTGAAGATGAACTAGATGGTGTTATGTTAGGACAGCTGATGGTCAATAAACGGTCAGTTTCCCCTTCTTTTTGGGTTTCTTCTTTTTTGTTTTGTTTCAAGAAGTGCAGAAAAGTGAAGCAAAACATTCAAACTCTGTCAGCTGATAGTCAGAGCATAACTTTTCCCTGAGAAATGTGAATCCTTTAGCAGCTTTGCCTTGAAAAATCATCTTCCTCTCCGTCTAGTTGTGTTTTTTTAATGGATAAGCAAGAAAAGAGGTCCCAATATGTTTGCAGTAATGAGGCGCATCTCTGTTTTAATAATAAAGAGGCAGTGCTGTGAGCTCTGCAGGCTGTGGGTGTGTTTTATTGCTCTCCACGGTCCGGTTCAGAGGTGGCTCATTATCATGTTGCCCTCGCTGCTCATGGATATGAGATTAGCAGCAGGGCCTCGAGGCCGGTGCTGCATACAGCTTGAATGTGTAATGGAGGCCTGCAGCTCGCGGGGTGTATGTTGTTTTAACAGTGGAAAGGCAAGGAAAGGAAGTTTCCTCAGGTGAACACTACTGAAACACGACTCCCTTTTCCTCGAGAATTTACGAGGCTGTACATAATCATACCAGCGTATCTACTTCTTTCTACAGTCTTCCCCAGTAATTGTTTTCTGCACCCATCCATGCCTGAAGCTGGGATGCCTTAGGAAGTGGCTCTCTTACATTAACTTGTCAGTCAGCGTGTGGTTAGACGTTGCTTGGCGTCACTTTGGTCGCCCACAGTTACAAGGGGGTTCGCTGTGGTCAGGGTGTGCCTGCTTAGCAGTGGCGTGGAACTGATGCATCCTTCTGAGTTGGATACCAAGTGCATTGTACTGCACTGCACTGTAATACAGAACATCTTATCTTGTGTTTTGCATGTTCTGTGAGGCAAGACTGACTGCCACTATTGTTAAAGTGGTGATGAAAGTAACAAATAAGTTGCACATTTCCTTCCAGTTGCAAGTCATAAGCAAACAATTTTCGTTTTTTTTTTGCAATTCAACAACATCAGCTTCTGCAATGTTTCATTCTTTTGTTAAAACCATGCTTGGAAACAACTGAATGGCTGCAAATAATGATTAATATATTCAGCAGTTAATCTTAATCTCTCAGTTAGTATTTATTTGTTTATTTATTTATTTCGCCCCTTGTTTTATTTGAATAATGTTCAGATTCTGATGAAGTTATCTAGAACTTTGCAGCAAATAAGCAGAGTTTAGATGTAAAAAATAAACAGAATTTTGTGTTGAACAAATATATTTTTAGGCTCTTTTATGCCATTATTTATTTTCCATTCCTCACATTTCTGTCCAGACCCCACCGTAGGAATCCACTAGATTAATCCACTAAGTGATTAATTGTTGCAACACTAACCAAGATGCCAATAGAAGCAGTTCAGTTTAATTTCAACATTTTAAAATGGATCTCTTTAAACAATTCTTAGTCTTAAAATTTTAATCGTATACGCTAGAATTAAACATCCTTTTAAGCTGTGTTTGGTGTGTTTTATTAAGTATGTAGCATCTTTACCTGAATTGCTTATTGATATTCAGTGGACGTCACAGTCGGGCTGCAGTATGACTTAATAGCTAAACGTGTGTGCTTGAATCTGTGTGTGTGGGTGTGTGTGTGTTGACAGGTATTTGTTTGTGCGTCTCCCCCCCCGAGTCTCTTTGCAGTACTGAGGCGGAAGGGCTGATGGGGAAAATAGAGTAGCTTGCGGGGCTTCCACCTTGTGCTGCGTGTGAAGTGGCTGCTAAGAGGCTGTGAACAGGGAGCGCTTTGTCTGTCCGGCGGAACAAAATGCCTCACATTGAAAACCTTCCTGTGATACACCAAAGAGAGGGGAAAGAGAGAGAGTAGTGTATGTGTGCGTGTGTGTGTGTGTTGGGGGGAACCATGCACATACAGCCTATGTTCATGCTGCAGCTCCTGTGTCCTGATTATGATTTCTTTCCTCTGACACAGATCGAAAGTTTCACGGAGTAACTTTTGCTTCAAATCTGAGAATTTGTGTGAGAAAATTAAACCCAGAGGCATGCAGCTATGTTAATCCACCTGTCCGGCTTTTTAGCCCGTGGCAGCTTCGTTAAAGAGAGTCTGCGTGATGAATGAGGCATAACACAGGAATAAAAGCACCTAAATTTGGGGAAACTCAGGCACATACCACAAAAAGATTGTTACTTTGTGCATACTAGGGGTGTAACAATACAATCAGCTCACAGGTCAGTACGATACACAATAAAGGGATGACCCTATTCAAATATGGCACACATTTTAACAGAATTTCAACAAAATTTGCAAATAGAAAGGTGAGTTAATGTGCATTTCCATCCACTACCATTATGTGACTTTTAGGAGTTGGTTCGTGGATATAAACAGCTGATGGCGCAACAAGATGGTGCAGCAAGATGGCGTAATGAAATGAGCGCCAGTCAAACCTCAAAAGGTGAAAAACAACATTAAAAACATGATGCATGGGCGCCCGGTTAGCGCAGTTGGTAGAGCTGGCGACCCATGTACCGAGGCTGAGCCCTTGCTGCAGCGGCCCAGGGTTCGAATCCGACTTGCGGCCCTTTGCTGCATGTCATCCCCTCTCTCTGCCCCCCTTTCCTGTCTGTCTTCAGTTGTCACTGTAATAAAGGCAATAAAAGCCCAAAAGATATACTTAAAAAAAAAAAAAAAACATGATGCAAATATGGCATTTATGTTTGATTCACATATTCATTTTAGAAAGTTTACAGTCCGTCACTCCACACAGATCTGTTGTTTTCGCTATTTTTCGTCTCTTCCGTTGATGTATAAGTCACATGCTTAATGTGCGTCGTGATTTATTCAGTGAGTGTGTTTTTTGAGAGTTTGTTTAAATTTTTACTTTTACTACCACTGATTGATACACTGGAGTGAAAACACTCCAATAAAATGGCTGCAACTAACAATTATAAGCATTTATAGATCCAAAATTCATATTTTTCATATATATTTATATATATACTGTTACATCCTTAGTGCATGCATGTCTTCATGAACAGAAGTACACACACAGAACAAAGATATGCAGAACTACTGACAAATTACTGACAAATTGAGCATGAAGACCTCAAAATAGCCAGTGATGCATTCACACTTGGTAACACCCACATACATGCCAAGCTATAAATAAAGACCTGATTAATGGTTTGTATGCATGTGGTCAAAACAAATTTTCTTCGAAAATCCCCTCAGTTCTTAGTAAATTCTTTTTTTTAAAGAAAAGTGTTTTTCCACTTATGCCTCATGGCAGCATGGCAGTCATGGAGGAAATGGTGAGTCAGGCTCAGGCAACAATTGTGGGGAAACTCAGATCAGTAAAAACCTTGAGTGGGGGTCTTTTCCAGACAATACAGTATCAGTGAAATACTGCAGAAATAAAACAGACATTCGTTTTAAAGTGATAAAAATGGAGCCCTTTTGTAATTAGTTTTTTAAAGCTGTATTTATTCTATCAAATTGTAAATTGGACTACTGCTAATTGATCACTCAGTGTTAGTGGAAATTTGAGTGCTCTTATCTTAACGAGCAACTGACAATGTGGTGATAACTGATGGATTTATGGATGTGATTGTAGAAAATCACATTTTACAACTCGC